ATATGTATCTATAGTAACCCATCTTCTTCATGATAGGCAAAAAATAATTTAAAAGTAATGAACAGTACCTGTGAAAGTTTTTTAATTTTTTGTTTTCAATTAGGTATTTTCAGTTCATTTAAAAAAATTTACAAGTGTCTTATTTTCTTTCTAGGAGCATGACTGGATACCTGATTTGTTTTTTCCATCTCACTGCTATCTTATTTCACTGACAATTTTATTTAAACAGGAAAATTTCTGCCAAAAATTCTTACACAAAACACAAACTTCAAAATAACTTGGGCCAATTCATTTAGGTATGTGAAAGTACTGGGTTCATTGAGGTATGAAAAAATATTGTGTTTATATGCTATATGTATAACAAGATGAACAAAATTTTTAAAAAATCATCTGTAAAGATCCATAGAGATGCCTCAGACTCACTACCCTAAATATGACTAAACTTGCATACTCTCCCTCACCTTCAGCTTTCATAAGGAAGTTCAAAATACTTTCATAAGGGCTGGGGTCATAGCTCAGCAGCACAAGCTCCTGCCTGGTACCAAAAAAAACAAAAAACAAAAAACAAAAAACAAAAAAAACCTTTCATAGTAAAAAATAATGTGATGTGGTTTAAAAGCCCAAGTAACAGGTTTGTCACCAAACACTTGAACTTAACTTCTATAGGACTCAATTTTCTCTTGTAAAATAAAGTAGTTGGTCCCACTTCCATTTATACAGATTGTTAGGAATGTAATTCAGGACCAACCTTAACATTCAAACTACCAAAAACCTGCTAACCCAAATGTTAATATTCCAAATAATGAAATACTCTGAGCCTTAGAAATAAGCTATAGGTCACATATGCTAATAAAAAAAAAGATGTCCTGGGCAAACTATTAAAATAAAAAAAGTAGGGCAGGGGCATGGTGATGCACGTCTATAATCCCAGTACTCTGGAGGCTGAGGCAGGAGGACTGCTGTGAGTTTGAGGCCAGCCTGGGCTACACGGTGAGTTCAAGGCCACCCTGAACTACACAACCAGACCCTGTCTCAAAAATAAAATAAAATAAAATAAAATAAAATAAAATAAAATAGCAATGCAGACAATTGGACCCCATTTGTATGTATTTTAAGATACACACACACACACACACTTTTCTTTTTAAAGAAACTAAAAGGGCTAAGGATGTAGCTCAGTGCCAGAGCACTTTCTTAATACATATGAGGCCCTAGGTTCAATTACTAGTATCTTAAAAAAAAAAAAAAGAAAGAAAGAAACTGAAAGAAAAAGTATGTCCAATACACAGTACAAAAAACAGAGAGAGGGGCCAGGATACAGCTCAGTGGCACAGCACCTGTCTGGCAGGTGCAAGGTCCTAAGTTTGATTCCCAAGAACAAAAAAGAGAGAGAGAGAGAAAGAGAGAGAGAGAGAGAGGGAGAGAGAGAGAGAGAGAGATTTTTAAACTGCTGTCCAGTTGTTGTAGTCCCTGGCCATTTGAGTTACCCTACTAATGCCCCAAATATCGTGGGGCAGAGATAAGACATCTTATCCCTGTCCTGCCTGAATTCCTGACCCACAAAATCATGAGATATAATGACAATACATTATTTTAATGC